TGTCTTATATGCTTATGTAAAATATATTCCGATTTTCCAACCTCTCAATCTGAAGAACGAGGTTGTTTTGAAGAGCAGTGCAATTTAACAATAGTCCTTTATGATACTATTGTTTTGAAGAGCCAATGCTAGTTTATTACTTTGTCAACCATAACAAAAATTCAGAAATCTATTTTTTTAGTTTCCTATACATTGACTGATGAAATAAATGGTAATAATCGATGTGAAGGATCTATATATATGTAGTGGTAAATCTTGTCATCCGCGATAGGTCAACTATATATAAAAAAGGCTGATGCCATATATCCTTTTAAGAAATAATTTATTATGATTTCGTTAAATGACTAATGTTATCTTCTTCTTTTTTTTTGGTAAACTATATAATGTTATATTTCTTTTCTATTGGTGAGGATTAATGTCCCTTTCAATATTAATAAAACTAAAGTTTTAATAAAAATGTCTACACAACATTCTTGTTGAATTAAACATTCCATAAAACATTTCCACACAAGAAGAAAAAAATTACTTTTGATATTAAAACTCAACTAGGAGATAAGGATGAAAGAAATACTTATACACAGTTTTATTTTTATAATGCAAAAAAGTCATTTTTCAAATTCAAACTCATAATATTTTAATCGCAAAAGAATAGGGCCATCACTTAAGTTCACGTAAATTCCTTCAATACAGCGAGAGTACCAAATTCGGTATTCACTTTTATTAAATTGGAAAAAAAAATTCATTTTAACACACGTTTTTTTTAATATTTTCTCTTTTAACAAGGATGTAGGTACTCCCATTGAACCAAAGGTTCTATCCAAGTTCACCAATTGCGGTTACAACTTACTAATGCTTGTAAACGTAAATAATAGTGATCTAGAAAAGTTATGATTTATACAATCAACCCCAAAGCCAAAACTAAACCAAAACTCTGAGATGATTTAATCTTTAAGCTTATGCTTGCAGCATAATCCTATTAGTTTTGATATAACTTGGAAGGGTGGGTTTTTTGTTGCTGGAAAGGGGTTATGTCCATTCATATGCTTATCTGTTTTTTAGGTTCCTGTTTAGCAACTAAAGGTGGAGTAGGTGCTTGACATGTAGTAGATTAGAGCATCTATGATCATGTGGTCAAGATGCTATGCTATCACTAATACTAGGAAAACAAAGACCCCACGCTTGACGTCAATACATTTCTGCTATAGATGTTACTATTGATGTATTCAAATCAGACGCTGGAACAAGTTTCGGTTGTCTAGAGAGTTAGGGCATATTCAAATTGAGAATATGAGTTGTTATGTTGAATGCTTTTATTTGCTACTGCTTAGTTTCCTCATATTAATTCTTTCTCTCAACTTTTTTAACATATGTATTATTTCAAGGAATAATATGTATACACTGCTGCAACCTCGGCTTGATGTCCTTCTTTTTGAAATAGTTGTCCCCCTTATGTGTTTAATGATAATGATCAAAAGCTTTGGATGAAGATCCACATGAATATGTAAGGAAAGGCTACGGTAAGTTTGATTGGTGGGTAAACAAGGAAACAGTATTTCACCGAATTGAATTGGGATTGCTTATGGCTTCTCATTCTTTATTACAGACATTATTGAAGATTTGTATAGTTCAAGGACTACTTCAATGGATTTTGTGAGTGTAGGAGATAGTACTTTTCTGATGCAACATAAGAAAAATATTACCCTTGTAGTTTAGTATAAAATGAAAGAAAGGATTTATTTTGGTACATTGGTGGCACGGTAATTTAAATCTACAATCTCATGTTAGCTACCCAAACCCCCACTGCTAGCACAAAAAAGAAAAAAAATCTGTGTTATTCATAGTTCTTAGAATTGCACAATTCTTGATTTCTAATTTGGTTATATTCTCATATATCTTTACTTTGTTAGAAGTTAAACAATCCTGTTTAATTGAACTAAGAAGCTTCTTCAAGAGCACAATTAAATCCTTTTATTGGCATAGTTGGTATAATGCTTCTTCCTCTTGTATTCACAATTGTACATTGGTGACATGAAATTTAAACCTACAATCTCATGAAAGATAACCAAACCCCTACTTGCCAGCCCATAAAATAAAAGATTTGTGTGTTATTCATAGTTATGAGAATTGCATGACTCATAATTTGAATCACACAATTCGACAAGCCATCGATTTTTATCATGTCATGAATTAGAGATGACTTTGAGTTGTATGATACATGCATGAATCGATTCCATATCAGCGTATGTATCCATGATTCAGTGATTCATTAATTAATTTGTTTGCTTTTCTTTCATCAATTCTCATAAAATAAATTGAAAAAATAAAATAAGTTTATATAGTTAAATGAAAAGGAACTAATGAAATGCTACTGGATGCTTCCTATTTGAGAATTTCGTTGCCCTGTTTTCATTATTTTGAAACAAGAGTTTCATACACACTATGCATCATATTTAGTTTTTCCATTGCTCCGTTTTTATTCTTCTCAAATAGAGGCTTTACATAGTTACTCGCTCGCTCACTCTGCATTTTTATTTGGCTGTAGCATTTATTTTTTGGGGTTTTGTCAGGCTTATTTTTAATTTATTTTGTCAATTCTTAGTTTAAAATTATTACATGGAGCATTCTACATAATTTATATGATATATTTCAAGCTATTTTTAATTGTGCATCTGAATCTTATGATTCAATACAATTTACATTCACTTGGCCATTCACAATTTGAATTTGAATTTGATAACCTTGGTGTTATTTAATTTTATAATTTAGAGCTATAGTATTTGCGCCAAATATGATGCAAATATGAAATGTATTGGCTGCAATGTAAGTTGATCCCAAAATGTTGATCTATCCTCTTCTGACTTAACTTGCAATCCTTCAAAGTTTGTGGTAGCCTCGTTGAAATAGAACCTATCCTAATCCCTTCCTTTCCCTATTGCAAAAATGAGTGATTCAAAGGAATCGAAATTTCCTTTCTCTACCATTTACTCACTCTAACTAAACAAAGCAATATTTTCCAATTGAATATTTTGGTTTGATTTCATGTAAGCTAATTTGAATTTTAGTTGTAGATAATGGAAATGTCATTTCTTTATTCTTAAGAATTTAGCCATACTTTTATTTTCATGTGAAAAACAGGCAGCATTGCAGTGTGTTGTATCCAGAATGCAAGATCTTGAACTTCCTGTGCGGGTTGATTCTGTTTTTGCTTTGCGATCTTTCATTGAAGCTTGCAAATGTGTTTTTGGCAATCTCACATACTGAGATGTTGGTTCCTCCTATATAAAAAATATAGCCAAATTTCTATTAAAATGTAATCGAATATAATTAAAGTATAAAATAATTTCAATTGATTATATTTATACTTTTTGTTTTTTCTTCAAGTAGTAGCCAATTTCCGTAATGCTTGGATAGTATCTTCAGTCAAGCTAGAACTATAGACATCAATAATGTTAATTTTTATGGTACTGTAGAGATTGATACAGATCTTATGCAACTCTCAAAGATAGTATTGGTGAGGAAACAAAGTTAAGTCCTTCCACCACCTATTTAACTCACATGCACCAATTGAACTATTACCATTTGATACTACTTTTATTTTATTTTATTTAAAATAAATAATATGATAGAGGCCGACCTGTAGGCTTATAAGCCCGGTATGTAAAAAAAAACATATCACATATTTTCTAAATAGACTTATTTAAAATTCAGACCTGTTTTATTTGATTATATGTAATAGGCCAAGTCTGGCCTGATATAGGTGAGGCCATAAGCCAGGCCGGCCTACTTTCACCCCTACTTATGAGAAGCTCGTGTTCCCCTCTCCAGAGATCAAGGATATGGCGATAGCTGATAGAGGGGGTCCTTTAGCTTGTAACTGTCTTCCTATATAATTTTTGGAGAAAAGCCCCTTTGTATTCCGTACCCACTTTAGTCCCTTACAAAAAATTAATTTCAGAAATTCAAAGTGAATCCATTTAGTTGAAATTGTAGTCTCTCACAAATTCCAAAAAGATCTAGATTAGTCCCTCAAAAGGATTAAGATGAATCTACTTTGAATTCCATAAAGATCAGACAACTAATTTTTATTATAAAGAACTAAAGTGATGACGTACTTTTTGTTAGGAATCTAAAAAAAACTTTACTCTAATTTTTGGAAGGCGTTGGTCCCTCCACATATACAAAATAATAATAATAATAATAATCATAATCAAAGTCAAACTCGTAAACTAACGTTACTAGTCACTCTGCTTAGCACCATATTTATGCACTTTCAAAGGTTTTTATTAAACTAAAAACATGAACACAATTAACGTTCCCATACTATATATGACTCATACAAAAATAATGTCCTGTAGAATTCTATTAACTAAAGAATCAGATATGTAATTTTTTTAAGTTACCCCCATTTTACATTTCTCACATAAAAATAGATGTTAGTTCCCAACCCCCCCAACAAAAAAAAAAAAAAATTTAAACAATTCTTTTGGATAAATAGTGAATGGTACTTGTAAATGATCTACAGCATAACATACATTATATTATACTATACGTGCACATAATTTTTTTCAAAAGTTGACATATTTTACATGCTTTGGTGGCAAATAAAGAATATCACCAACTGTACCAAAAAAAAGAAAAAAAGAAAAGAAAGAATATAACCAACGAAATGGTCAACTTCTTTTATAAACAAAATCCTCTTGAACTTGCTCAAGCCATTGCTAGATTGAAGTTACCTCTACAATACCTCGTCAGACTTGACCAACCGTACAACAAAAGAGAAACGCAAACCTTGAGCAAGATATTAGATCTAGGCATCTAGCAGACACAAAAGTTCCAACACCATGGGCAAAATGTTTGTTTATGCATAAAAAAATCAAAGAACTAGTTTTTGTGGGTAATCGATTAAAAGGTGGAGAAATCCAAAGAATTTAATCTACAAGGGAAACCAATAAAAGGGACAACAGTAAACTCCAGCAACTGTCTAAAACTTGATACATTATTCCATTTCAAAGTTTGACCAAAGTCAGAAACTAACATTCAAAGATGTCTCAAAAACCAAATTACGATTACAAAGAGTGGCCACCCAAAATCAAAAAAATTATTGGGCTGCAGTGAAACCAAACTAGAAAGAAAGTATGAATTGGCCTCTCAGCATCTATAAGAGAACCAAATAAGTGCGCATACTAAGTAGATGGAACGGGCCAACAAAAACAAGCGCCAATTCCAGTAAGAGGCTTCTGTCAGAAACAAGCACCAACGCCTAAAAGCTATAACAGAATCCCCACCTTTTATCTACACACCTACTCCCAAATTTTTGTTTTAAACGTGTTCATAGAGCATTAGCAAATTTAGATCATGTAATTTTCCCACCTATGTCTATCAACTATACATTAATCTACAATGGAGAAATGCCAATTCCATTATAAGAAACTCTGACAGATTCATTGCATAAAATCTGTGGTCAAACTGGATCTGCCCCTTAAAAACTACCAACTTACCCAAAATAGGAGCTCGTATACAGCCTCACTCCGATATCAAGGGGCCCATCGTCACCACCAACAGCATGAAGTGCTACCGGAATTGTTGAGAGAAGGCGCACCGTGAGCGGGAAAACTGCAGGTTCAATTTCAGTCTTTGAAGTGTCCGATCCGGAAATGGGCTCCCTGTCCATGGTAGATATACTATCATCCACGTTCATTGCATCACTTTGATTAGAATTATCCATTGGAACTTTTAGGTTATAGGGACAAGTGAGCAATGCAACTTCTTCAAATGCCCTCCACTTGTAAGAGCTACCCCTCCTAAATGCACGTCTATTAGTACACATGCTAAGCACCAAAGTGGAAGTGGACTCAAGCCATTCCACAGTCATGCCTTCAACATCATCATAATATATGCGTCGCTCAATCTGCAAGACAAAAAGGTACAAAAAAATCATAAGCATGGCATGAAGCATTTGTAACACAAAAAACATCAAATTGTATCATATTAATTATACAAAAACTAATCTTTCTATATCTTCATAGACAATCCCTTTTTTAAAAATAAAATAAAAAAATGCATAGAAAATTTGTCACAAGTTTTATTTGACAATCATTGACAATAAATATAGATATATAACAGTATTAGCCGTTTTCTTATTCCAGTAATGTCTGGAAAAAATCCTAAATTAAAAAAAAAAAAAACACAGCACACTTATTGCAGAGACATTTTGACACTTTTACTCTATGCAAACTAGAACTACATATAGTCAGAAGTTACTTACAGCTAGCTTTTGAACATAAATTGACATGAATTTTGGGCCTAGTCCCAGTATTCTTGCTTCTGATAACAAGACCTGCAGAATAGATGAGCACACTTTAACTGCAGAGGAAAGTGTATAAGAACAAAGAACAAAACCTAGGTTTAAAACATAACAAGAACAACTAAAAGCTTCCCAATCATCTATGTAAAAGTTGCGATGGTTAACATAAGTGACTTCATTCACCAACAAGAAATCAGTACATAAAATGGTTGTTGTGCATTATATCAGATAAACATAATATATGAGAATCTCGACAGCAACATAAATGACATTATAACATGCACTCAGCTGGAATCACATCACTCAAGAACAATGCAGTAATCACATTTCAATTCTTGACATTTGCTGGTCATACAGCCTCTCTACAATTCCTTTTAGTAAAAAAAAAGAGGACATCCAGTTTTCACATTACTTCAGACCAGGGTAGTCAATCGCAGGATTTCACAGCGATGCGGCATGTCACCTCCCTGCAATATGCAGAGCATCACTCATGTTTTAATGGAGAACTACACAGCAATCACATTCCAATTCTTGACATTTGCTGGTCATACAGCCTCTACATTTTTTTTAATAAGAGGACATCCAGTTTTCACATTACTCCAAAACAGGGTAGTCAATTGCAGGATTTTGAGGCACCGTGGCACGTAACCTCCCTGCAAATGCGGAGAGAATCATGTGATGTTTTGACAGAGCGATCACCATGGCCCCAAAGCACGACAAATCGCAGTCACTATTACGACACCATAGCCACCACTGGTGATTTCTTGAAATTCGTCATGTTCCCCACTAATTTCCGCCATGCCTCCTCCTCTAGTTTGAGCTTCACCATTTCCCATTGTTCACAGTCGCTTTCCCATCATTTTCAGGCAACCCACTAGCATTCTATGCTATTTGCAGCAACTTACATCCCATCCCACAGGTCTGCAGTGTGCTCTCCAAGACCTCCTCTTTTCTGATATGTTTTTTCCCCCTTAGTTGTGTAGTTTGCATTTCGCAGCCTAGGACTTACCCCCCCCCTGTTTTTGATACGCTTATATTTATTTAGGATTCTGTGCTGTACTTTCTCCCCCTTATGCTCCTTGACTTCTGTTATTATTGACTTGTTCACTATGTCTTAGATTTATGGGGATTGTGTCTAGATGACTTTTATTAATAATTATGGATATGTCTTCAATATTGGGTAATTTTTTATTTTTGAGCATTAATTCATGTGAAATATGAATTGTTAACATTTTATACATAATATTCAGGCAAAGCAACCATCCCGCTATCTATCCCACTGTAGCAATTTTGGTATTGACCACCGCAAGCTGCTGTCTGTGAGTGAACACTATACTTCAAACCAAAGACAAATGTAAATTATGCCATTATTTGTGCAAAAAATATAAGATTTAAACAAAAAAAAAAGGGAACGATCATGTATCACTGGGAAAAAGCAGACAGTACAAGTATAATAAGGAAAGCAATCTTTAAGTGATGAGTCACAAATCATTCTCAAAATCAACAGGCAGTCAAAGCTAGTTTTCAGCTGCAGTCAACTACACGGAGTACAAAAATGATCTTCTACCAAGAAATTGATCGAATAATCTAAAAATTCAAGAAAGAAAAAAGATGGCAAATTAATAGAATGATTTTGAAAGCCATACCTCCTTCTTCTTCAGGAGAAACCACATGTAAAGTTTATCACAGGCATCCTTAACATTTCTACTAGCTAGCTTCCTCTCATTGCAATAAGCAGCGATATCTGCAAGTTTTTCAGCACATGGAACTCTATGCTTCAAAGCAGCAGCTGATAATGCTTCCCTAACTTCTATGGATTCTGCAGAATTTTTATCAAAGATACCAGTCAAACATCTTTTTTGCAATTCCACTTCCTTGCAAGCCTGCAAAGCCTTCTGATGCTTCATATATAATTCCTCAGCCTCAGCCTCTATAACTGCAAGTAGTGTCCGGTGAACAACAATATCTGGATACCGTCGCAGAGGTGATGTAAAATGAGTGTAAAACGGGACAGCCAATGCATAATGACCCCATTCATGTTCATTGTCTTTTAGGTCTCCACTACAGAAGTAAGATGCCAACTGCATTGGCCTTGTAGCATAGGAAATAAGTATATCATAAAGCACAGGGTCACTCTTGAGCTTTTCCCTGATCTGATCTAATGACCAATGGAACTGACCAGATGAAGATGTGTCCAATTCTAAACCATGTTTTTGACAAAATGCCATAAACTCTCTCAGTTTCCGCATATTAGGTTCAGGATGCCTCCGTAGTAATGCACCATCAGGATATGCTCTACATATTACTTCAGCTGCAGTTGTATTGGCCAAAAGCATGAATTCCTCGACAAGAAAATTTGACTCTTTCCGTTCAGAAAGCATAATATCATAAGGAATTCCATTTTCATCGAACCGGATAACAGCTTTGTGGTTTTCAAGCCGCAGAGCCCCATCATTAAACCTCTTGCATTTCAAGACATTTGAAATTTCATAAAGACTCTTCAAAGATGTAATAACATCAGGCCATTCAAAACGGCCATGCACCTTAGGATAGCCATTTTCAATAAAGTCTGCATGTTCAAAATCAAAAGCCTTGTCAATGATGTCCTGAGCATGTTCATATGAAAGCTTACAACAAGATTGTATAACAGTACGACCAATCCAACGGTCTACAACATTCCCCGCAAGGTTTATATCTAGGAGCATGGAAACTGCAAGTCGATCCACTCCAGGACTAAGCGAACCAATATTCTCCGAAAATAATGCAGGCAACATATGCAACTTTCTTTGCAACATATAGACACTTGTTGACCTGAACTGAGCCTCACTATCTAAGGCTGTGTCAGGTGCAACAAAGTATGATACATCAGCAATGTGGACACCCACTCTATAATTTCCATTAGGTAACTTCTCAATTGACAGTGCATCATCCAGATCAGTGGCAGTTGAAGGATCAATCGTAAATATGCACAAATTTCTAAGGTTTATTCTACTTTGCATTTCCTTCAGTGGTACCTCCCAAGGAACACATGGCAGGCAGGACAAAGCTTCAGGTGAAAAGTCAGACAAACATATTGCATTCTCAAACAAAATTGCATCTAATTGGCTCTGAACTTCACCACCTTGTCCAAAAATATGCAAGATGTGAGCCTCAGGAAAAGGACTTTCTTCACTCCAATCATCAATTTGTGCAGCTACCAGATCCATTTCAACTGTCATATCACCACTTTTCAGCCTTTTCTTAATGCACTTTGGTAATTCTCTAACAAGAAGCATCATGATTGGAAACTTCGGATCAGTTGGAGTCAGCTGGATGTATTCATGCTCAGAAATCAATTTTTTATTGTTCTTTGCACCTTCTTTGCTTATGTCCCTCAAAGAAACCCACTGTTTCACAGTAAGATGACCAACAATACCCTCTCGACGCGGAGAACTCTCAATAACAGCAACCACCCTGCCAGTTGGTCTTTTAGAAGGGAAAGAATTAACCAACACACACATCTTTTCCACTGCATTAATTACTTCTTTGTGTCCACTACGAGAATTGAACTTTAAAAAATCGGAACCAGCATAGTGATGCCCATCAATACTATCACGGCTGGCCAGTTCCTTGGAAGCATTATCCTCATAAACACATCTTTTTTCAGGACAAGGATAACTTCTATAAGGGGTGGAGTTGTGATCAGCATCCTCTTTACCTTTCCCTTTACAAATATTACCACCCACTTCATCATCTTCCTTAAGAAGGTTACAACCTTCCAATATTGCCGTATTGTTGCTAGTCCCGTTTGATCCTTTCATTTTTGTCCACAATGACAAAGGATCAATCTTAATTGCAACAATATCACCTTCCACCTACAGAGAACAATCATCAGATGTACATCCTCCAGCTAGATACAAGGCACAACGAGGCACATTTCTGTTATGATATCAACTATGGAAGAAGCACTGCAGCTCCATCTAAATTCCAAGCCAATTAGAAATGAAAATTTTCATTGCAGATGAGAGAAAATAAAGAGCAAAACTACTGTACACCCCCCTTACCTGAAAAACTATAATTGCCAAGCAGCTCAAAGAATTTCTTTTGAACCCCCAAACCAAAAAAAAAAATCACCATATACGCAAGAGATGAACATAACCAGGCATATTCTAGGATGATATATATATATATATATATAGGATTAGTGTTTGTCTTTTTAAAGGACATAAAGTTGTGTCATTTTAAGTGAGAGAAAGAGATAAATAATGGAAATCATGGGGAGAGAGAGTGGAAGAATTTTTTTTTAATTTAAATTTTAAATAAAAAATACTACTTTTAACTAAATGGACCATTCTTTAAAAGGACAAACATTTTTTCCATATATATATATATATATATATATATGCATTAACTTGTAAAGTAATACATCAAAATCAGAAAATCTTAAATAATGAATGGGCATGCAACATCTACGCAAATGCCCCCGATAAAGGCCACATAAGACTTCATAATGATTTATATATGATCAATTGAAACAAAATAGAAGTAGTTTTTCTGTTAATACCAACAGAGTGGAAGTATAATAAATGTCCAGACTTACAGCTCTATTCTGGGCCGGAATTCCAGCAATGAGAACATCTGTTGGAACTCCATCAATTTTGCAGTAGGCCTACCAGTACATTTACAATAAAATTTTAATCATCATAGTAATACACTAGATGCATCAGGAAACTATGATCGGATCCCCGGGAAAAAAAAGCAACTAAAATGGCTATGAGATAGATGTGAGAAACCTCAAGTCTATTGTGAGCATTGACACGAAAGAGAGCTTTAAAAACATCACCCTTCTGCAAACCAAAAAAAAAAAAAACCAAATATAATTCCATAACAACGGTAATAAATTTATATTGCTAGTGTGTGTGCGCATGTATAATGTGTGTGAAACTACTATATCACTAACCTCTAATGCCTTCTCAATAGCCTCTACAGACCAGTGTGGACTAAAATAATTTCTCTGGGGACAGTGACCGATTTGACTGCAAGGGACCGAGTCTTTGCTTTTATTAGTTCCTGATGACCCTCTACAACCAATGGGCTCAGAAAATGTTCTTGAACCAATTCCTCCACCATGGATTTGCATGTTCTGCAAATCAACAGGCTCCACTTGCTCATCGATATGCATAGGGGGCATTGAAATGAAAGCGACATTTGATGCTTTGGATAATCCTTGCTCATTAGGGGAACAAACATTGAGCCCCTGCTGCTTCAGTGAACTACTCAAGGACACAGTCGTATGAGCAGGTGTTTCAATTTTACCCAAACATTCCGACGACATCCCATGGGTCTCATTTACTTCAGATGCTACCATAACGGGAAAACAATGTGGGTCAGTGAAGAGAAAAAATGAAGAATAGCACATGATTTTTAAATTTATTGAAAAGAAATAGGAAAAGAATAAGAATCTTTAAACCGTTGCAGAAATACATGTATAACCCTGATCACAATGATACTAGTGCAAAAAAGATTAAACATATCACCAACCATGGAAAAATAATTTGAATTTTGTCTTCTGGGCTTGATGCAGAAATCGCCAACACCCCATAATTAACATAATAATAATAAAAAATATTAAAAAGAAAAAAAAAACACAAAGAACGAAAAGGGTACCTGAGGATGAGGGAGGGTTTTGCTTAAGTCGACGATTGGATCGGCGCTTCTTCTTCTTGTCCTTTTCCCCATCATCAAACCTCTCAGGCGTAGATCCTTCAACCGAAGCTTTCATAATTAACACCCTTCCCCCAAAAAAGAAAAGAGAGTCGTACAAGAAATTCAAGAACAAGAAGGAAAAACGAAAGGGGAGAAATTGAAGTTAGAAGTCGGGAATCTTCCGTTTTTTGGGAAAAAAATATAATTCGGAAGAACCAAAAGGTTAAAGAAAAGTATCAAATCAAATGAAAAAAGAGAGAAATAGAAAGGGTTTAAGAATAAGATGATTATTGATTAGAGAAGAAGGAGATTAAACGACAATAAGGTGTAGGGGTGGGTAGGAGGAGGAGGTTGAAAACGACATTATGATTGGTCGGCGGGGACATGAGGCGCCGACTTTCGTTGCCTTTCTCTCTTCCGTCTTTCCTTCTTTCCTAATTCCTCTCCACATATGTTCCCTTTTCTTTTCTTTTCTTCTTCTTTTTTACCTTTCCTCCTACTCACTCCACTCCAATCCCACACCTTTTTCTCCTAGTTTTAAAAAAATGTTTCTTTTTCTTCACTCAAGAATCTTGAGGTTGAATTTCCAAAAAAAAAAAAAAAATCTTGAGGTTGAGAGTCTTTCAATTAAGTTATACTTACAACTTTTTTTTTTACAATCTCTCATAATTATATCTTATTATGTTGATTTCTGACAATCAATGGTTATTATTTTAGCAAATTAACTCATTAATTAATTATTAATTCACAATAAATGATAACCTTTGATTGACAGAAATCAACGGTGACAAAATATAGTTGTAAGAGATTATTAAAAAAAAAATTGTAAGTATAACCTTTTGAATTTGTGTTAATTTACGTTTGTGATGGAGTGCATTTTAATTCTCCTTTTATTTAAGAAATAATTGTAAATTTTTTTATTTGTTTAAAATTGTTTATTATTTTATAAAATAAGAAGTTATTAATTTTTTTATTTTTGTCATTTAATATTTCTATTAAATAAAACAATAGAGTATTAATAGTGATAGTGGAATTAAAAATAAAAAAGGGTGAGAGATAAATAGTTCCCTGCAAATTTTGTGTATTTTTTTTTTTTGGTAAAGAATTTTATGTGTATTTATATAGGAATAGAATATTGTGTCTACTTTTTTCATATATAACTTATCTATTTATTCTTAATATCATTAAATTACAATCTCAACTAATCTTTACTCTCTCTTTTTTCTCTTGAAATTCGAATTTAATGATATTAAAAAAGAATAAGTAAAAATATGCATAAAAAAAATAAACATAATAATATCTTATCCTTTTATGTAATCGAAAATATTAAATAAGTAAACCCCATCAAAATTTGTGAGTATACACAAAATTCTATAAAATTTTAACATTAAAAAAATTCTGAAATAAATATGATATTACCAAAGGAATTTATATTTTCTTAATAATATTTAATTTTTCTTTAAAATCTTAAATGCTATTTTAAAATCAGAATTGCAATATAACATATCATGTTGTAAGAAATATTTTTATATGGTATAATTTAACTTGTAGGACATACATTTTAAGGTTTATTGTTTATTATATTAGAGGAGATAAATTTATCTTCTCTATACATCTAAAAATATATGAAATTCATATTTTTTTTTCTCTTCTTCTCAATGGTCTCACATGGAGCTCATATACTTTTACATATGTAATAAATAAAAATTATTTTTTATAATATAAAAAATATTAAACCTTATTTTAAAGTAGCATTCTCAATTGTAAGAAAATCTTATCACACAGTATAATTCAACGCGTCTTATCTTCTGTCGAGAGTAGGTCATAGTATACTTAGTTGTAAGAAATTGCTCTCTTCCAATATAATTCGACAGATCTTATCTTATGTCGAGATTAGGTAACCGTTAAATATTACTTTTATGGTCAAATTAATATATAATCTCAAAGAGTGAGTTTGGTAGACACATTAAGATGAGACACAACAAGATATAAAGTTTTATTTTGTATTTAGTGTATTTTAAAAAATTGAATTAAACATAATATTTTAAAAACTACATCTTAATTTCACTGAAAGAAATCAAATCAAAGATAATAAAACAAAACCTTTCTAATTTTTTTAATCGCATGTTAAATGTTTGCTTAGAAACTCAATCAAAAATTTATAAAATCGTAAGCAGTCAATTGTATTTTTATCATCTTTATAGTTTCAAAATTTTGTAATTGACTCTTTAGTCTAGCTTTTTAAATAAATTTTAAGTTCTTAAAATAAAAATTCAATTATAAATTTTTAAATTATTAGTTACAAACTTTATAAATATAGATTTAATTTAAAATTTCTCAATAATATAAGAATCTACAAATTAACTTAGCCTTCCTCACTAATTATGACCCTTTATGATTAACATTTATTCAGTACTCAATTTCTCACTAACTCATATAACAATTAGCTAAATTCCTCACTAATTATGTTTTTGGTAACCCTTAAGAAAGAGAATGGCGATTTTAAAATAGTAGTCAGTTAACCTTAGGTTGCGTTTGGTATAAGGATAAATTTTGAATTTTCGAAAAATTGACATTAATAATCCAATTTATCCACATTTGATATAAGGATTTACAAGGATTATTAAAAAAATTTCAAAAAAATTAGATTCCTAGGAAAAGTTTTTTTTGAAGCTTTTTGAACCAAAATGCTATCAAAAAATACCACCTATTCTTGAATTCTCATAGCATGAAAAAATTTCACACAACTTTTTGATAACATTTCTGATAATATTTTGGTCTATCAAATAGTTTTTGGTAATATTTTTTGGAAATTCATTTTTCAAACATATTCTTAAGAATCATGATTTGCAGACATAAAAAAATTTATCTTCTACCAAATGCCCCGTTAAATCATGGAACATGTATGTTTATGGTAATATTCAAAATAGAAAAAAAAATTGTTAATTGGACGTATGACTTGTGTTCATAATCATCGTTTTGTGAAAGATTCTATACAACTTTGAGAAAGAGAAAAGTACCTACAAAGTCAGCTTGAGAATGCCTTATAATCTGAAGAAGTGTGGTATCATAAATCCAAACATAGGTGGCTTGTAGATGGAGATCACAGTAGAAAGTTCTATCATCTACAAATAACGATCCGTAAGTACTATAATAAAATTTCTTGTCTTCGAAATGATGCTAATATATCAGTCTATGATATAACTAATCTTTTTTTTTTCTTTTTTTTTGTAAACTGATATAACTAATCTTAAGAAGATGACATGTGAGTCTTATCGCAACCTCTTTGGGGAAGACTGTCCAAATAGAAGATGGCTTTCCTTATCTAATATGTGGCCGAATGCTTACTAACATAGAGATTATGCTCTGCCTTTGGAAGCCCTCAAATCATCTAGGGAGGATGGTTACCCTGCAACTTTTTTCAAAGTAATTGGTCGAGACTCAAAGCCCAGATAGTTGGATTGATGAAAGAAGTGTGGATGAGCCCGTCACTTACTTCCTTGAACTCAACTCTGTTAGTTATCATTCCCAAAATATAAAACCCAATCCACTTAGCTCAGACATATCTCTCTGTGTCCAGGAACATACAAATTGGTGAGTAAAATCCTCGTCAATAGACTCAAGCCAGTGATGTATAAACTTATATCCTTTTATCAAGCTAGCTTCGTCCTCCACATGCATCAACATCAACAATACTTTTATTTCAAAATAGTGATAAATTAATCTAAATAAAAAATACAAACGATTAAAAAAGATAAAAATGAAAATAAATAATATATATAAGTAAAAATAAAAGGAGTGTAGGAAAATAAATAAATAAGTAGGAGAAAGAAAGATGGAGAAAAGGAAAAGAGATAAAGGAAAAGTAGGGAAAAAGAAGAAGATGAAGAAAATGAAAAGGAAAAGTACCAAAAAAGGATCATCTAGAACATAGGAATAACAACAGAATATACAGAATAATATTTTCAGTATACAAGAATCGGTGCACTCAATGTTAGGAATGTGGTATCTATACTCTAAAAGGGGGTGAATTGAGTATTATAATTTTTTTACAAAATGCCCCCTTCTTATTTCTAAATTAGCATCTATACAAATTGTGACATTTAAAAAGTTAGTCAATACATTTAAACAAACTATAATGCATAATCTAATAAAATGATATAATCTATATTAGCACATGTTAGATATTAAAGAAGCATTTAAAGTTCTAGAAATAAAATGCGAGGATTGAGAAAAATGAAAACTAAATTTATCCTGATTCGGTCACCACCACTCGTGACATACGTTTAGACTGCAAGTCGATAAAAAATTCTTCACTATTAATCAAGCTTAACGGGTGCTTGACAAATCGCTACAACCCCCCACGCTTTTCGGGTGTTTGGAAACCTTACAACCTCCAAGTTTACAAGGTACTTGGCAACCTTTCAATTTTCTCAAAATTTTCATAGGTTTTTGGTCACCTTTCAAACTCAATGAGTCTCACAACTCTTTCAAATCAAGTATACAAGAAGGAAGTGTTTGGAAATGAATATACAACTTGAAGTACTATGAGTATACGAATTTTCACAAGATGAGCTCAAATATGTGTAATATTTGAAAGATATGAAAGAATGTGTAATTGATAATGCAGAAGCTCTCAAGTTAACCTTAAGATGTATAATAATGGTGATCAAACTTGTTTAGAGCCATAGGAATGTGTTTATATGATTTTGCCCAAAACTAGTCGTTTATAACCGTTGTAGGTTTATTGGCTAATAAAGATTCAAATCATTTTCATCAGAGATTTGAATCTTTGCTTTTGGGAACAAGGAATTCAAATCTTTTGGTGAGGGAATCCTCCCCTTACAACAAGTGAAATATGTCTAGGGCTATTTTTCAATGTAGAACCCAAAACTCTAGGTTATGGAGTAACATTTGCAGAGTCTAAAAAGATAGAGGCTAGACTAGAATAAAAGATTGAAAATGGTCAAGAGGTTTATTTCTGGCTTGATAAATGGACTTATTTTTCAAACCCTTTGGTTAGGAGTGTAAATAGGTCAGACAACTTGCCAGAGGCCTACAACCTAGCTTATCTTTGGTCTGGCTTGGCGTGACCTATTTTAAAAATAATTTAGGTTTGAGCTTATTAAAAAGCCTCTTTAAAAACCAGGCTACGAGCCTATTTTAGAAGGTTTGACCTCTAAGCCTCCAGGTCGAGTCTGTATTTTATATAAAATAATATCTTGTTATTATTTATTAAAATAATATTTTGGATTGTGGTGTAGCTTCAGCTATTCTACTATTTTGACTTTCTATCAACTTAAAAGTATAAAAGAAATAAAATAATCATTACTTATATTTTACAAAGTGTAATATGAAATACTTAAAGGCTTGTTAGGCAAAGCCAAGACTTGTATTTTTTTAAAAACAAGTCAAACCAAACTTATAATTTGATTTGTATCACTTTATATTAGTCGAACAAATCAAGTCAGACTTGAAATATTTTATATAGACCTAACTTATTTAGGCTCGGTCTCGCTACAAGGCATGCTGATACTCTTTCACTAAAACCCTCCGAAAGAGGGCCGGGTAAAACTTCACATTGATGGGACTGCATAGGCATTCCAGGGTAAGCAGCCTGTGGTGACCTTTTTTCGTAAAGCATCGGGAGCATGGCTAGGTGGTTTCGCCTACAAGATTGGTTGTTGTATGGCTTCTTGAAGTATTTGGAGTGTACCTGCCTGGAATGTGGGATAGAGACACACATTATTCTTGAAAGTGACTCGGCGAATGTAGTCACTATGCTACCAAAAATGGCGAAACAACTCGTGAGTCTCACTTGTTGACTTGTATACACATATAGCTAAAGAAAGAGTAGAGAGTTAATGTTATTCACAGCTATAGTGAAGGCAACAAATGTGTGAACTGGCTTTCAAGTTTCATTGTGCATCGTCCTCCCTAAGATAACTTACTTTGGTTTGAAACACCTCATTTGGGTCTTTTTTTTTTGATAAATTGGGTCTTCTTTTTCAATTACAAGCAATTGTTGCTGTTAGGTGAGTTTTAATTTCTTGTTTCTTAGGTTCCTTGGTTTTTGTTTGTTTTCTCTTTTCTCTTTTTGGTTGGGGTATGCCCCTTCCTTCCAAAAAAAAAAAAAATGGCCCATGTCCATACACTCAACTGTTATTCTATATCTACATTATGAGGTAATGAGAAAAGTCTGTACAATATTAAAAAAAAGTTAAGAATAACTCAATAACAACTAATTAAGATTAAAGCTCACACTAAGGTTCATTGCCTACTTTGGAACTTCCTACAATGACACGAATTTCTCAGCGATACATACAGAGCCAACTTTTTACTAGAACACATCTTTTACTACAAATTTTGAGCTCTTAGATGAGAGTGAGACTGATAGATGTTATTCATATATGATATCACAATCTTTTATGTAAGGTGAGATTTATTATAAATATTTGAAAGATCATTAAATATAATTAATAAATAATAAAATAATTGATAATTAAATTTAGATACCAATGCTTTTTCTTTTCTTTTTTTATCATTGAAGGGGCACTAATACGGAAATTATACTGGGCCGTGTTTAAAAGGGCAGGCGCTCTTTCGGGCCACGGGCTATGACCCAAAAGCGAATGGCACCTTGGCGCTTAATTATCCAATGAGAGCATGACACAGTGGAAAATCGCGTTGGCATGCAATTAGAATTGACTCAGAGTCTAGAAGTCGCGTTGAATTGAATAAGCGTAGGTATGTAATATAAAACAATATATGAATGAATTGAAGTGTAGAATAATAATATATTGGTACCGTTATCACCAATTCCTCTTTCAATTCAATTGCAGCAATCTCCGTCTCTCTCTCTCTCTCTCTCTCTCTCTCATGGCTTACGTTGAGGGAGGTATCTTCCTATTCTCAATTCTCATTTCATATCATTCTTTTTTTCTTTTCTTTTTGCCATTACCGTTTAGCTTCAGGTTCTGATTCCTCTCTGGGACTTGGATTTATAGAACCTCTTATCTGGTGCTTTTAGATCAAACTTTTTATATTTTTTTATTTGTGATTTCATGTATTCTTTTCGAAACAAGCTTCCGAATCGCGAAATTTTGGAATTCCAAACTTTCGATGTTTGCTATCAATTTATATTTTGAGAATCATAATGATGATGTTTCTTTTTATTTCTCTATTTAAATTTATTAAATAAAATTTAGCATACCTTTTTTTTTTTTAACGGTGTTTATATCAGTGTTCCCTGATTTTCCAGTTTTCCATGTCACATGTCTTAAGACATAAATTGTTGAGGTCTTTGGGCAATATTGCATCCATGTTTCAACTAGTAGTTGCAAATTCATTTATCTGCGTGGAACTTTACTTCATATTATTCTCGAACAGTACTGATTTCACATGCTTCTCAAATTGTATGGATAGAAACGTCAGCTTCTGTAGTCAATGAAATTAATAATTCTTATCAACACCCTCTGAAAGTCATCACTGGAAATACCCAATAGCTTCACTCCTTGAGTCCTTGTTGATAAAGCTCTTAAAAACGTAATCACCCATGATTCCTAGTTATGTAGTGCAGACTGGTGTGAACTCACGTAATTCTGTGTAGAGAATTGTAGAAAAGCTGCACAAAGCATAATTGATGGTTAAGCATATGGATCTAAATTGCTGAAACAGTTAAGTAAAACGGGAACACACTAATCAATTGATGTTTAGAGAAGAGGATGGTCCTGCTGTCTCTGTAGAACAGGTGGAACTCATCTCTACCTTGAGGGGTTTTCAATTTTAACTTTGAAAAGGTTGTGAATTTCCAATGGGTATACCGGGATTTCGAAGACACAAACTTTGACACACGGGAGGGTGTTCTTGTTTGAACTTTCTTTTTGAGGTTAACAGCCTCTTTGTTTTCTGTTAGTTTAGGTCCAATTGATGATAGTAATGCATAGATATATTTGTGGGGAAGGTGGTTGTCACGATGAATACTAAATAGCAGAGGTGCTGGAATAAATCACAGTTACTTCCATTTGGAAGAGGTTATTTGTTGAATCAAGGGCGTGTGCTTTCAATTTCAATCAATTTCTTTTGATTAGTTTCAGGGCCATTGGTAGAATGAGGTGGGAAAGCCTTATGGTGGTGTATTTGGCTTGACCTGCTTACCTGTATCTTCAAGAATTCTTCTAAGCTCTTAAATCTGACATTGAACAGGATAGCCTTTATGGCCTCCCTTTGGTGTTCAGGTCGTGATCTCTTAAAGGGAGCCTTCCTTAGATGTACTAAGGGATTGGAAAGCTTTATTGTGTTAATGACCCTGTTTGTCTTTTTATATTATATTTTTCTGCCTTTGCCAAGCATGATACTATTGAATTGAGTGTTTACCACTAGGCAAAAAGCTATAGCTGTTAGTCAGAGCACAACTCTTTCTACTTACCCCTACCAGTCCAAGCGCTATAGTCCGATTTGACGCTGACCTCATATTGGGCTTTACCATGGCAGGATGTTGACCTCTACAACAATCCATCGCCCTCCCCAACCCCAGCACATGCCTCGAGCAAAGTGTTATCTTGAGGAATCGATCCCATGACCTTGGCTCTGATACCACGTGTTGGATCGAGCACTTACTTACCACTAGGTCAAAAGCTATAGCTGTTAGTCAAGGCATAACTCTTTCTACTTATCCCTATCAGCCCAAGCGCCATGGTTGAATCTGACTCCAACCCCACATTAGGCCTTGCCAAGGTAGGATGCTGACTTCTCCAACAGATACCGTGTCTTATACCTCTTCTTTTCTTTTCTCTAAGAATACATTTTTTATTTAGAAAAAGTTTTCGAGCAAATTTGGGAGATGTTTTGTCATAGGTGTTGTAAATCTGTTATTCTAAAAAGGGTAAATGACATAATTATTCTTCCTTTTAATTTAGCTACGGTAAGCAGTCAATGTTAGGTGCTTTTGGAAAGCAAAATGTGTTATCAAATTAGTGAATAACCTTTCTGTAGCAATGCAGAATATAGTTATAGATATGAAGTATGAACCACTCCTTTTCTTTTGTGCTCAGGTATTTATCATAAGTATTGAAAAAGTTTTGGAGCAAATTTGGGAGATGTTTTGTCGTAGGTATTGTAAATATGTTATTCTAAAAAGGTAAATGACATAATTATTCTTCCTTTTAATGTAACTACGGTTAACAGTCAATGTTGGGTGTTTTTGGAAAGCAAAATGTGTTATCAAATTAGTGAATAACCTCTCCGTAGCAATGTAGAATATAGGTATAGATATGAAGTACGAACCACTCCTTTTCTTTTGCGCTCAGGTATTTATCATAGGTATTGAAAAAGTTTTGGAGCAAATTCGGGAGATGTTTTGTCCTAGGTATTGTAAATCTGTTATTCTAAAATGGGTAAATGACATAACTATTTTTCCTTTTAATTTAACTATGGTAAACAGTCAATGTTAGGTGTTTTTGGAAAGCAAAATGTGTTGTGAAATTAGTGAATCACCTTTCTGTAGCAATGTAGAATATAGGTATAGATATGAAGTACGATCCACTCCTTTTCTTTTGTGCTTAGGTATTTATCTTCAATGTACAAGATAAAAGATTTTGGGATGTCTTTCTTTACCATTTCTTGCTCCTTCTGCATGATCCCTACCCTCTTGCATTTTTTTCTTATCCTTTTTTTTAGTTCTGTATGATAGTTTCAATTCCTCCCTTTCTCATTTTGTTGAACGTTACCCTTTGTAATGCTGGAAATTGATCACTTGAGTAGGGATATTATATTAGACAGCTGAAATCTTTCATATTTCCTGTGATATCAATTCTTATTTAGTTTTTGATTTGGCCATTAGTTGTTGTTTTTTAGCCATTGCATTAGTTGTTAATTAAGATACAAAATTTTGGCATAGATGTCTGTGGTGACTTATGCAAAAAGTATGTGCTTGAATTGGCCAAATTTGTGGTTGGAAGTTATTGATATGCTTGCAAGAGAAGTTGGTTGGTTAATTTTATTCTTACTGTAGTTCTCAACTTTTCTAATATTTTTTCAACCATATGGTTTATTTCCTATGATGTAAAAATGGGTAGATATTCACCATTCATTTCTGGGTGGAATGGCCTCTCTGTTTGCTAGTGAAAGCTGTTGATCTGATTTTTGGGTGCTCATTTGTCTGTTAATCTTGTTTCCTTGTTTTCTTTCATTGCCTGGTTAGAGTTTTAAAGAAGAGAAAGAAATTGTAATCCTAACTCATCTCACGGTCTTTAGGCTGGTGGTCTTGTGTTTTTTATGCTATTGCTGCATGATTAGACAGCATTACTGATTGAAACTTCAGAATGAAACTAAGGCTACCAGCTGTGCTGTTGTGCTTGTAAAACTTATCATTCATGTCTGAGTTTTTCAGCTTGTATTATGATGGGTCTAAAACAAATCTGTTATAGACACTTTCTTTCTTGACGTCACAAAATGATTATGTAGGTTGATATTGATTTGTTACTGGAGCTTGTACAATTGTGTGCAGGTCTTGTTAAATCAAAGCGATCAATATGGCGGCTTAAAACAATAACTGATTTTTTCTGGGCCGTTGTTAACATCATAGGCGTGTTTTTTGCTACCATGTTCTCGGTAATATTTCTTGATTCCTATTATAGAATTTATGAGGAATCTATTTGTAACGAATTGATGTATGCTCATGATGTTTTCATCCCCTAGATGGAAAAGTCAGATGCCTACCGGAAAGGTTCTGCTAGTAAGAAATGGGATGGAGGTGCTCCCGGAGGTCCTGGTGGTGGCGGTGGGGGTGGACCATATGGTGGTGGTCCAAGGGGCCCTCCTCGTGGTGGTCTTGACAATGTTCGTGGGCTAGATAGTATTAGGGGACGTGACCATAGTAAGTTTATATTGTCTGCGTTTGCCCTTGAGCTTTGTTTTGGTGTTCGGTTTAATTTTTTGTTTTCGTTTATAGTTGATATATTTTTTATTGATAATTATAAAAATATCACATTGTTTTCCCTTTGTTTTTTAATCTCAAGAATTTGATAAGATTAAGATCAATAAAATCTTATTTTTATCATTTCCTTCACAATATCTTAGAAACTGAAAACAAAATAGCATTTTTAAAAGGGAAAAATATTTCTCTTGCCATAGTTATTTCCTGCAACTCCAAAACAATGTTATTTTGATGGTTTAGGAAGAAGAAAAAAAGTATTTTGGAAATTTTATTTTGCTCTTATATCATGAATTTTTTTAAAGGGAAAAATATTTATCATGTCATAGGAAATAAAGTTATATCCAGCAATTCTAAAATTATGTCATTTTGGGGGATCGAGAGCTTATGGCCGGAAAAATGATATAGTTTTAAAGTTGGTATAGATAATTTATCTCTTATGGCCGGGAAAATGATAAACTTTTTACTATAGTACTCTTATTTTTTTTCCCCTAAAACCTAAAATGATATCGTTTTAGATTTGTAGGAGATAATTTTATTTGTTGGCAGATAAAATATTAATCTCTTTTTATAATTATAAACAAAAACATACTAACCGAAAATAAAAAATAAAAAAACAGACCAAACGTCACACTAGATATTTATTTTGCTTTTCCAGTTTTTCTTTGCTAATAATTTCCTTTCCTTTTCCAGGTTCGCTGCCTGCCTGCGGCTCCTGCTGTGGCTGAGAGTGTTAGAGATGTCATTTGTGTATGTGCCTTATTGGTTACGATCTGTATACGGTGTTGAACTGGTGTATTATGCAAATATCGTTACGACTTTCAAGCTATGTGTGTGGGTATATGTTAAAATAGCAAAAAAATCGAACGTGATTGATAATTTCCAAATGAGCAATTACGGATATATGTGTTCTGATTTTTTTTCTTCTCGTAGAATAGGTAATGAAATATGTATTTTTTTATATTTGTTTTGTTTTAAAAGTTAAAAGTCAAAATACAAAATAAAAATAATACAAAAAAGCAATTATAATTTTTATTTTTATTTTTTACAAAACAGGTTTTGTCAAATGAGTTTTTTTATTTTCTTTTTTAAAATTAAAAAATTATTTTTCAAAACACAATTTCGAAAGTCGTCCTATTAATCGTTTATCCTTCTTTGAACTTCTTTCTTCAATTATGGACTCATGGTCTTGGGTTCAGGGCTTAAAAGTGCTTTCAGTATTTAAATATAATTTTCTCTTAAGAACTTTTTTTATTTGCAAAATAATACGGGTTTTCTCCCATTTTCGGTAGTGGATGTAAAACCTACTATGACTGAGTTCTAACGAAACAATTAAGTGAATGGATTTGCTTATATTTATAGTCTAGTTTTATAAAATTTTGCTTATATTTATAGTTTAGTTTTATAAAATTGAACTCGCTATATTTTATGTCATCTTATTTTAGGATTGAAAAAAAAAAATGTCATAATTTTTTTTCTCTATCTATCTCTTAGTTCATCCATCATCTCCATGTTTGTCTAGAATTTGTTTCCTCTCTCTTACAGTTTCTCCACTTTGATTACTTTTTCTGCACCGTGAATTCTATCCGTCGAAGTTCCTCGTCTTTGCTTGTGCAACTTCTGTGATTGCGGTGCGATTTGTTTCGTTTCGGATCAGGAGGGGAAAAAATGTTGATGCCCCGTCTTTGAATATGTTAACTAGATTTCGACCTTTTAATTTTGTGGTTTAAACCTCAATTTGGAGAAACTGCTAGTAGATTATGTCAAATTTGATTAAAAATTCGACAACCTCTAAATGAAATAGTTTTGAAGTGATATGAAATAATTTTTTCTAGTGTGATAGGAGAAACAATAAATGATATAACTGTTAATCGACAGAAATCAACGATTAAGATATTGTTGTAAGAAGTGTTGGGAACTCGGTTCTCTCAAGTTGGCTAAACAGCCTTTTTCGGAAGTCAGTCAATGAGATCCTGGATCTCGGATCTCGGCAATTACCTAGGCCTGAACTTTACCAGGTCGGGCAGCGCAGCGGAAAACAAAAACACAAACAGGAGAGAGAGAGAGAAAGAGAACACAAACCGTTTTTAATGTGGGAAAACCTTCTTCAATGAAAAAGTAAAAACTCACGGGACCTAATCCAGATCAAACGTCTACTATGAAAATAATGGATACAAAGAATCAAAATACACCAATGTGGTGGTTAACACAACCTCTCCAATAATAGTGATAATCAAACTACCCTAGAGATGTTTCACTTAAACTCTCTCTAGAGATCTCTCAAATACAAAGCTTAAAGCTTTGCTCACAAATCTCTCAAATAATTTCTCAAATCTCTAACCTAGCCTCCACCCACAACTAATGAATATATAGAGGACGTGAGATTTAGGGTTTAAGGTTTCTAGGAAACCCCTCAATGAGTTTGGGCTTAGCATTGAAGGAGGAAGCCCAACAAATCTCCCCCTCCGACTTCAATGCGTCAGCTTCAGCATCAACCCGGCTCCTTCACAACAGTTTTCAAATTTCCTTACTGGAACCGGCTTTGTCATCATGTCGGACCAATTTTGGTCAGTGTGCACTTTGACGAGTTCGAGCTCTCCACTTTCCACCACATCCCGGATCCAGTGATACCTCACATCAATATGCTTAGTGCGGGAGTGATAGGTCAAATTCTTCACAAGATGGATTGCGCTTTGATTGTCACAACCCAGCTCGTACTTGTCTTGATCATGGTCGAGTTCCATGAGGAACTTCTTCATCCACAGCATCTCCTTGCTTGCCTCAGTCGCGACAATGTACTCAGCCTCGATTGTCGATAGTGCAACACACTTCTGAAGTCTTGATTGCCAAGAGACAGCTCCTCCGACAAATCTCATCATGTATCCCGTCGTCGACTTCCTCGAGTCAGAATCTCCCCCTAAATCAGAATTCGAGTAGCCTTGCAACTCGGCTTTGCCTTCTTCAAATCGAAGGCATAAATTAGTCGTACCTCGGAGGTACTTGAAGATCCACTTCACTGCTTCCCAGTGCTTTTTGTCGGGGTTTGACAAATACTGGCTTACCATTCCAACAACATACGCCAAGTCGGGTCTAGTGCAAACCATTGCGTACATCAAACTTCCGATGGTGGATTGGTATGGGATCTTCAACATCTCATCTTTGTCTTCATCAGATTTCGAACATTGCTTTTTGTTGGGTGGTTTGCTGATGGTGGAAAATTATAAATTCTGATAGGGGACGTTCCTCTGTTCTTGCAGAACACAGATTCGTTCCCTAAGTTCCAACCCAAGTGCGCAAGTGCATGCATCAAGTAATAAAGGGAGTATTAATGTCCATATTATCGTTCCCACGAGGATAGAATCCTAATTATTGTCTTACACTATTTTATAAAGAATGAAAATGAGAAGAAAAGTTAGTAAATAAATTGTCTGGTCAAACGTTCCATACTGTCTTGACAACGTTCCTCAGGAACAGTAGGTTCAATCTGCTGGCAAACAATTACTCGCTGCATTATGTATGTAATCCTTCCTGTTTAGAAGAAGGTGAGATAATAATCATTGGAGTTGATAGTTATAATTATATAAAGTAAAAAAACTACTAAAGCAGAAATAACTATAATCAAGAGACAACAAGGTGATGTTTTATAACAGTTAAACAGAAGGAACGGATTCACTGATTCACTCTTAAATAGCTATTTTCTCTACTCAAGACTTAACACTTCTTGGCTTTGTCCCAGTTTCTTGTCTGCCAACTCTGATTCCTCAGCTCATGGACTAGATGGCTCACAAGTTTCCATATTCCTACGGCTCCTTTGACTCCAACAGGTACTTAGTACAGAACCTTAAAATGGACGAGTTGGCCCCTTATTCCTAAGGTGACCAGTAGTGTTTTTGTCATAACACTACCTTCCCCCAATGGCTAAGCTGTCTGAAATCCCTTCCTTATGGAAGCTCCTTTCTCAGTATGTGCCCAATTTCCATTGGTACACAATGAATATAGCTCACTTAGCCAAAGAAATACAAAAAGCTTCAGTCAAGAGTTTTGAAAACAGTTCTTTAAGAGTTTCACAGATTACCCGTTCCATAGATAGTTCAGCTCATGGCTGATATTTTAAACATAATTATTCCCAACTAAAGTCCCATAGACCCGAGATTCAGTTAAGAGATAACGAATGGAACGAAGAGAAAAACACTTATATTAATTTAAAAGACAGTTTACAGAAGAAACAGAAAATGGAGAAAAATGGGTTATTGCTTGTGAGGAGTCTTAATGGTTGATACAGAGAAGAGAAGAGGGGTTGTCACTTAACTATAATTACAACTTAAAATAAATCTAAGCTACTAACTACTACTACTAGGTGATCTCTTCCTTTCGGACTTCAAACCCTCCAGGATTCGATGATGTTTTTGTGTGTGGGTCGTCCTATTTATAGATGGAAGAGGAGTGGCAGTCTTGTAAATCCTTTAGAGCAAGTTGCTTGAATGAGGGGACGGAATGGTGGAAGCAGAGTGTGGAGACTGCGCAGATTGCTGGATGGAACAGGTTTTGGTGATGATTAGCCGTTGTTTGCAGTTTTCCCCATGCCTTGCTTTTTTTTTTTAGCCAATGAGAACTCTTGATTCTCTGCTCTTCACGTTTCCAGCTGCTCAGTTGGTGCACTGCCTTGCTTTTAGAAGACTTTAACTCCACGTTACCTGCAAAGTGTACAGAGGCATTAAATGAGTGGAGCAGGTGCATTAAATGCGTCTTAGTTCGTTCCCCTTTTAATATATTTTAAAGGAATACGTTACCATACGTTCCCCACTGTGTTTTTGTCACAAATGTGTAAAATAAGTGATTTTCGTGCTGAAGTTGCTCATCAGATGACGGAACATGTGGTATTTTGCCATCAAAATGGGCTTAGATGAGAATGAATTTACGTCCCATCACTTTTGTTTCAGCTTTATGTGTCCGGCTAGGGGGTGCTCACTGTTTTGGCTTTGTCCATGCTGAATCTCTTTAGAATCTTCTCAATATACTTCTCTTGACTCAGCTACATTAGCTTCTTTTGTCTATCTCGGATGATCTTGATTCCGAGAATCTGCTTTGCAGCGCTGAGGTCCATCATTGCGAAGGACGAGCTCAACGCCTTCTTCAGGGCGGCTATCCTCAATTTGTCTTTCCCTACAATAAGCATGTCGTCAACATATAACAACAAAATCAAGAAATCTCTGGCCTCATACCTCTTCACAAATACGCAGTGGTCGGCTTCTATCTTCTCAAACTTGTGATCAGTCATGAAGGATTCAAACTTATTGTACCACTGCCAAGGCGCTTGCTTCAAGCCATAAAGGCTCTTCTTCAACCGACATACTAAGTCTTCTTTGTCTGGAGCTCAGAATCCCTTGGGTTGCTCCATATATATCTCTTCTTCTAAATAACCGTGAAGAAATGTCGTCTTCATGTCCATTTGTTCTACCTCGAGGTCCATCGAAGCCGCCATGGCTAACACGGTTCGGACCGAGGTCATTTTCACCACAGGAGAAAAGATCTCCTCAAATTCTACTCCTTTCTTTTGATTGCATCCTTTCACTACGATATGGGCTTTGTATCTCGACTTCTGCTCGTTCTTTTCTTTCTTAATCTTGTAGACCCATTTTTTTCAGAGCTCGTCTTCTTTCTGGCAACTTGGCCAGCTCGTAAGTCTGATTCTCGTGCAGAGACTTCATCTCGTCTTGCATTGCCTTTTTCCATTCTTCTTTCTCTGAGATCGTCACAGCCTCATCATAACTCTGAGGCTCACCGTCTTCAGCAACAACGATGTATTCATCAGATGGGTATCTTGTGGAGGGTATTCTTTCTCGAATTGGATATCTCGGCTGTTCTTCAAATTGAGAACCTGGTTCATCATTCTCATCCTGAATTTCATCATCAACT